ATGGAATGCTGCGCTTTTGCTGTATCTCCCTGAAGGTAAGTTAATACTAGATATATGTGAGAAAGACGTACTTACATTTTCACTTACTCCTCCCCATAGTTCTGATTAACGACAACGTGTTAGAATTCGGGTTTAAAGGAGCATAGGTCAGAAACATTAAAATTAATTTTAATTTTAGCCCCAATTATCAAAGACAGCGAGGAGTCGTTAATTGATAAACCACAATCACCATAATGGCAAAAAGTGGAGATCGACTCAGTTGAAACTCGTCGAAGAGTCCTAAGACGCCTTCAGAAATTAGTTTCGCGACTATGATTGACATAGGTAGGTAAACATAATAACTCTGTTCCAACACGTGAAAAAATCGTCCCATGAACGGTTTCGAAACCACTCAGTATAACAATTTTAGTTTCTGCGCAGAATCGTGACGGTACATTGTACGGTTTTCTGCAGTGTTGGAACAAAGCTAATATTATTCATTTCTTTTTTTTTAATGTTTATTTCTTTATCAGGAGACACAATAATTAAAATATTCCTGGTTACATACAGGTACACCATATTCTACAATGCATGTATCCAAACTTTTTTGGTAGAATCATTGGTAACGAAATTTCTGTTCTAGATCAACCAGGCCCTTCATGTCGTCAATTTTTATCTACTGAAACTTCTGCAATTCGGGCAGACATTGCTACACCAAGTGGAACCATCACATCTGCAAACATGAAAAAGACACCAACCAACTTTGTCTCTTAAAACTTTTATTGGTAGGTACCTAAGTGTTATTGCTTAATGAATAATCACCCAGTTGGGAGTAGGTGAATTTTAAAACATCCTAACTCAAGTAGGACTACTACTATAAAAGACTACTAATTACTAAAACTTGCAGTCGAATGCTAGAAAAATTAGAAGCTAAATGTGCGAAAAGCTCGTCTCCAATCTTGATCTATTTTTTTTTTTGCAGGTCATGAGAGACGATGCCAAATTTTAAAGAACATTAACGTCACTAGGCAAAAAATTCCTATCCCCAAGGGAAAAATATCTTTATTCCAAAGTTATAGAAGCCAGCAATAAGTTAAGAAGAATCAGTAGAAGGTTGTTGTCATTTAAATCCAAAGTTTCTGCTGCTGAATAACTTGCATCATAAACCAAATTTCAAAGGCTCGTAGACCACGTCAATCCATTGATATACAGCTTTATTTTAAGCCAAGTCCGTACTCAAAACCAAAAGCCTAAAGCTAGACGATTTACATTGGACGAGAAGTTGTTGGCGTTGTCTTTGCTTAAAGCTAGTGGTAAAGGTTATAGACTATTATCAAAAATATTTATTCTATCATCCAGGCGACATCATTTTCTTGAATGAGCTTTATATTATGTATAACTACATAAACTTTCTACCTAACACATGCGGAAAGTGTATTTTCTGGACTTAAAGGCTTGTCCGAACTCTGCTTTTTGTTGTCATTCGTGCAACTTCCATCACGTGCAGAAACACTTTCCTCACTTGTTAGGTTAACAACGATTCTGGATTGTGAGAAAACGACCTCTTTTGTCATTTTATTTACGATTTAAGTTTTTCATCAAGCTATTGTTAAATGTACGTCATTACTTCTTGTAACTGTCCTTATTATATTTAACTTAACTAGCATTACCTACCTATGTATGTATACTTACATGAAAAAAAACTGTTTCGCAATAATTGTAATTAATTCCAAATTCTTTAATATTTTCTGTTTTAAACTTTAATAAATATCTAAATTTGTCATCTTAATTCTTAGTCAATTTTACCTTGAAGGCGCTTCAACACTACCGATTTTATGAGTTTCTTCTTTTTGGCACAATTATTTTATGCCAAAAAATGGTAGAAACTTTAAAGTGGTGGTGTTGAATCGCTAGAATCAAACGATCCACCAGAACGAATAAGATACCGAACGAACCCTAATTGCGTTTTGCATTCGCCAATAAATCCAGAATTACAAAAGCTTACCCCCCCAGTCACTAGAGGCGCTGAAAACTTATAGACAGGTTCTCAACACGGCACTTACCTTTCTAAGGGGGGATGTTTTGTGGTCCGATCCAGTGGGGATGGATACACGAACACACGAATATATTTGATTTGAATATTATTTTAAAAAGAACTCTGATAGCGTAGTGGATAGGCCTGTCGCTTTCGGTGTTGTTGGTTGTTGGTTCGAGTCTTGTACCAGAAGGTTTTTTTTTCATGTATTTATTTTTTGGAGAATTCTTATAGCGAATTCTATTGGAAGGGTTAGTGCGCACTGAGTGTATTCGTGTCTTTTTCTACCAGCTTGTATAAGAAAGAGATAAAAATACATTTTTTCTGCACTGGTTCTACCAATAGAATTCGCTATTAATTTTTGCCCTTTTTATTTTAGTAGTTATTCAAGCAACATATCACACAGAGAAATTATAAATAGACTGCAATAATTATTCAATTTAAAGTAGTTTTCTTATGGGAATTTTTACAAATTTTGTAAAAATCAGTTAAAGTTACAACTGCCATCATTATTTATTTGTTTGGGAACATTATTGTGACGTCAGACTCATCATCGTTAGGTTTTTGGAACGTATATACCGTATACCTATTCGTCTGGCCGCTAGCTAAATGAACCTGGTCCGAAAGACTGGCTGTGGCTACGTATCCGGCAACACACCTGCGAACCGCATTCGAATCAGAAGGTGGTTTCCTACCGGTGGTATTCCCTATACGTAGCCACTTTCGTTCCGAAAGATAGAGTCCCGCGTTCGGTGCGCGCTAACTGGACCCTGGAAGGCCCAGGCCCGGCCTACAGTAGCCACCAGTATACCGACGGTGCCGAGTGGCGGCCGCTCGTTTGCCGATTGTGTCTGGTTTGCTGGGTAGGTAAAATTATATCAAGTACATTAAGCTTTATTTGCCTCAAATTATAGAGACAAAATAATAGTATATTATATACCTAGGTAGAGAAGTTGGTCCTTATATACCGAGCGCTTTTATAAACCGAGGCGCTCGCGCCGAGGTTTATAATGAGTGAGGTATATAATGACTTTCTCTACCGAGGAATATATAGAATTTTTTTTACTACTGCTAGGAGAAAATGAGAAATTTGCTTTTAAAATCTGTGCTCCAATTATTTTTTTTTGAACGCCCTCTTGAAAGTGCTGCCCTCTATCAACAGCTTATGATAACTTCCTATGTACCTACAGAAACCTGTATTTTTTTTCAAATTGACGTATGAAAATGAAATTGAACCAATAGAAACATGACAATATCCTTGCGTCATGACGTCATTTTCATTATTAACCTAGGTATTTTTTCATTATTTTCATTATTCACCTAGGGAGAGAAATTCAATTTTTTCCTAGAAAAATAGGTTGAATAATGACAATTTCTCAGGTTAGTAGTAAAAAAAATAATTTGTAAGCAAATTAATATGTAATAGGTATTTTATTTCAATCAAGTAAATTGAATTGAAAAATAATAATTTTGTTCTTTTCATTATTACATTAGAGGAATTCTTTCGATCTGAACAAACTGATCGAAATCACTTGAAATTTGTTACAAACCATTATTGTCATCTGGTATTACAATGGCTACGTTCACCAGAACCAAAACGGATTGTAAACAGTTTACAAATACCAACAGAATATGTTGGGTAAACTCTTGGTTCTGCTGAACGATTCAACTTTTCAATGATAGAACGTCACCTTCTGAATGACAGGTCACCACACAAAACACAGTGTTGAAAATTATAAACACTCTGAAATTATGTTTGCAAAAATGGCGACCGTTTGCAAAACATGTTTACTTTTAGCACAAATTCAACGTAGCGTTCCCTTAGGGAGGATTTTCATGCATCCTTTTTTCCGTTTTTCCGTCGAAATATGTCCGTTTAACATTCTATTCTGACATAATCGTATATAAATATGTCAAGAAAAAAATTTATGACCACATTGGTAATTTTTTTAAAATCGATAGTTTTTATATCATAAACAAGGAAAAAAAATGTGTCGGACAAAAATATTGGGGCATTCGACTTGTCGGACACGTTGAACATGTCAAATTTATGGGAAAAGAAAATTTATTACCACACGGCTGATTTGAACAGCATCTGCCATAAAAATATTTTACAATAACGTGGTAACCTTGTCGGACAATTTTCACGGGGCATATGCCCAGTCGGATGCGCCAAAGATGTCAATTTCCTGCAACAATTTTATTTACAACCACACATGCAATTTTTATTTTTTACTGTTTCTTCCCATGTGTAATGCATATCGGATCAATTGTCGGACAAAAATAATGGGGCGTTTTGATACAATTTAAAAAAAAGTAGGTAATTTTTGTAATTGTAATTTGTAATGTAACAGTTAAAAGAAAAGAACAAATCAATAATTTTTCCAACAATGGCTAATTCTAAAATAATTTAACTAACTTTGAACCCTTGAAAAAGGAAACAATAAAATTTCCGAAAGCTCGGCGTTTGTGAAAAACTAGTTTTATTTTTGCCAAGACTGAATCCCAAGAATCATCTCACTTATTAAACAAGCCAGTCAAGAATTTCTACATCTATAATTTATAGTATATATGCATACATACATACCCACACACCTATATGTTTTATACAGGGTGAGTTACTAAGAGCGCGGTGGTCCCTATCTCCTATACTAACCGAGATCGAAGAAAAAAGTAGAAACAAAACTTGTAGATAAACATGAGTGCTTCATTCCTAAATTATTTTCCAGTATACAGGGTGGCCCAATAAGTAGTGGTGACACAAGGCTGTTTTTTTAAATGACTAGCCCTGTATATTATGACATTTCTGGATTCTGCGGAAAATAACAATAATTAACAATACGCAAAATTTAGCTGCACGAGTGCGCGCCGAAAGAGTACACTATTGTTTTTTTTTTATAATCCCAAAGTTTCCACCCAGCGACGTGTTTTCTAATGACACTCGACACGATTTTTCGCGTTTCAGTGATTCGTCACCGTATCAATGTTAAGGCAAAAGCAACCAGCGTTGCCGCATTTTCAAGTGCGCTTCAGCGAACGCATCGCTTGGCCTGCCTTTAAATTTGTAATAAATTTTTTTTATAAAAACTAATAACAAACGGTGAAAATTAATAAGTCCAACGCTGACATGTATTAGTATCAATACTTATTTATTGAATAATATTATTTTCACCATGTTTATTTAATAATAAATAATATTTAATGATAATATTTTATGTATTTTTTCTTTATATGTAGGTACTTATATGTTTATATAAAGTAATATAAGCATTAACTCATCCTTATAATTTGAGAACGTCGATAGGTAGCCTATAAGAATTAAATTTCTTGTATGCTTGCCCCAACATTTTTGTCAGACCATCACATTTTTTATTTAAGAATATAATTACTGGTAACCTTCTACTTTTGTCGGAAAAATATTTGTAAAAAAAACCCAGTATAGTTAAGAAATATCGATTTCCAATAAAAATTACATTTTTTGTCCGACTGTCGATATGCCCCAATATTTTTGTCCGACACTTAGATTTTTTGATTTAGAATATAATTACTTAGACCCTCCCATTTCTGTCGGAAAAATGGTTGTAAATAAAATTGCTGCAGGAAATTGACATCTTTGGCGCATCCGACTGCGCCTATGCCCCGTGAAAATTGTCCGACAAGGTTACCACGTTATTGTAAAATATTTTTATGGCAGATGCTGTTCAAATCAGCCGTGTGGTAATAAATTTTCTTTTCCCATAAATTTGACATGTTCAACGTGTCCGACAAGTCGAATGCCCCAATATTTTTGTCCGACACATTTTTTTTCCTTGTTTATGTGATAAAAACTATTGATTTTAAAAAAATTACCAATGTGGTCATAATTTTTTTTTTTGCATAAAATCGACAACTTCGTGACAGCTTGACAGACAAACGCCCCACTACCATAATGCGCTAAGCTCAAAATTTGTCCGACTCCACCCAAATAACAAATACAAAAAGTTTCGACGGTGTGGTCATAAATAAAAAATTTAGATCTGGGCCCAAGGACTATAATTTGCATGCAATACAAAATCATTAAAAATATAAGTGAAACATGAATGATTAGGAAACATTAGTGACCCACCCATTAAATCCCATACATTGGGATGTCTAACTAATTTGCTGTTGAGCCTTCGGTGATAGGACTCCATGATGTTGTTCGTTCTGTGCCTCTGGTCAAAGACACTGAAACGTTGTGGCGTAATTCGAGTTATCCAGAAATTTTTCAGATAAGTGAAAAGGTCCAAATTTGCTAATTCGACGTCCTACAGAAGAAGATTAGAAATTCAGAATAAAAACCTGCTACATTTTATGAAAAATGTAAAATACAAATATACAGGGTGTCCCAGGGAAAACAGTCCATCCCGATTTATTGGATTTGGGATGAGAATCTGGAAAAATGCTCGGACACGTCAATTTTTCATTTGAGGGGGAATTATTTTTCAGTTTTTTTTATCCCAGCTTTAACCCCCTAGCTAGGATGAGAACAACCCCCCAAATTTGGATAGGGGATAGGGGTCGTGTCACATCTCTTTTTAAAGGTCTTATGGAGTTCTTTATAGCCCTAGAATTTTATATTATTATTTTCATCCGTAACGAAATGACAGCTTGTCAAAATCTTGTAAATAGACTATTGTTTTAGTAGGAGTAAGAGCGATACTTACCTCCCTTAATAGTTGTATTCCTTTCAAGAGCTTGAAACACTGGAACTACTCGCTCCGGTGTTAGTCGACCCCGATTTGAAAGGAACAGAGGGCTTTCATGCATTTAAATGGTTTGTCGGGCTTCAGCACTCAGGTGCAACAAACACTTTTCCAAAGGAATAAGCGCGTAACGCCCCGGACCTGTTCCGGAGCTCCTCCTAGGTGTGAAAGGAATACAACTAATGAAAATACTTGAAATTGAAGTTTCCTGTTATTATATTGATGAGGTGTACACAATAATTGTAAATTGTAGGTATTTTTACTCGTATTTTTATTAAAGGAGGTAAGTACCGCATTTACTCCTATTAAAACAATATCCCGTCTATTTCCAAGATTTTGACAAGCTGTCATTTTGTTACGGATGAAAATAAGACGAAATTCTAGGGCCATAAAGAACTCGACGAGACCTTTGAAAAGAGGTACGACACGACCCTTATCCTCTATTCAAATTTGGGGGGTTATTCGCCCCCTAGCTACCCAAATCCAATAAATCGGGGTGGACTGTTTTCCCTGGGACACCCTGTATATTATTATATCACGGAGCTATATACCTGTTGTAATGTCGGTAATATGTCCACAATCATGTCGGCAGGTAGAAGGGGCAAAGCATAATACTTCTGTAGCAGAAGTTGCCCATTTTGGTTGTTCTCAATCCGTTGTACTATGCCTAAAGCCCTGGCTTTACGGAACACAGCCTGTAACATATCAAAATTATACATAATTTACAATAATTGCCACGACTAGAATCCGCATCAAATGAAAACTTCTTAGAAAAATTATTTAGTTATATTTTTTTGTTTTAATATTGGAAATTGGAATTATTTGAAACATAATATTTGTTGTATCCTAGTAATTTTTTTCCTATGAAATTGATTTAGAAAAAAAATGGGCTTAAGTAGGTATTTATGGAAATATTGGAAAAACACATTTGGATTTTTTTCAAATCTAGAGGAACCTATTTTATATTCCCAATTTTTCAGTACCTACTGTTACTCATTTATTTAGAACAACTGGTCCAACTATTGCAAAATAATGAAAATACCAGAATATTGAGTTTTGTGGCCATTCAATCAATCAAAAATGTCGACATTTTTTGTCAATCGCAGAAAAAATCATTTGCAGCGGACTTAAGTGGTGCCACGGTATTTATCTGCAAAAACCTATACCTGGCAATAATGGAAAAAGCAGCCGTGTAACATTGCATGTGGATAAACACCTCGCAAGGATTCAACCAAAGCCGATTCATAGTCGGTCATAATATTCTGATTAACAAAATTAGGGAAAGTGGCCTTAACATATTCAAAGACTGCGTCATATAATACCTTTGTCCTATTTCCCATAAAAATATGAACTAATGGAAAAGCCTAAAATGGATAATAAAAAAATTATTTAATAAAATTGTTTAATATCAATTATTCACTTACGTGATCCATACAAGTCGCAAATATGGTTAATATTTGCGAGAAGTTGGGCTTCCTTGGTACTGCCTTAAAAGTACCGTCAATAAAAACATACTGGGCTTTTGTAAACTGGCTAATAAATTGAGAATTTCCAAAAACAACCGCTGAATCTCCACTAGCGGACAAAACGGTACCAGAAAAAAAGGGTCCTCCATCATAAAGGGTATATTTAGGCCATTCTCCACTACTCAAAATTTCACCTAGAAGTACTAAGGTTTGAGGCACACTTGGTGTTGTTAATCGCCTCCACTTCGCCATGGAAGACCTCACAACATTATATGGCACATGAACAGCAGTGGCTACATGTCTGAAAAGTTCATATGGCAAAGTTACCTATAGAGGTACCTGCCCAGAATACAAAAGACCATCTATGCTTACCTCTTTGCAATTTTTTCGTAAATACTTTTCAAATCACCCCTTTCCCTTAAGCAAGCATCCTTTAACGCTTCTTTAAAATTCAGCTGCGTAATGTCGGATTCAGGTGCAGCATGATTATGATTGGCGTTTATCATTATAACGTCATTTCGCTCTTCTGTGATGACCAATTTTGCTGATGCCTTGCAGCCATATTTCCTATTACTTTTACAAACTAGGTATCTAAAGGAGATGTTGTAAGTTAAGTATCACAGAAGAACACAAACTCGGTATGTAGCTATACAATCTCCAGCAAAAAGTAACTATGTATATGTAAAGGGTGTCCCAATTTGGACACTTTTAATAAAAAACGACAATTTCTAAGCGAGATACACCATAATGAACCCCTACTCTGAGGCTATTTCCAAATTTCATGAAAACTCGATTGGTAAAAACCCGAGTGTAAACAGCATTTTGCTATCTTTATCGAGACCGTTTATAGCCGCGGGGCGATTCTCGATTTTGAGCAATACTTTGAAACTGTCTAAGTTTGAAACCTTCATAGCTTTTTCCGTTGAAACTTTCTAGAAGCACTTTTCCAAGCAGGACTCAGTGACGCTCTCAGTTTTTTTCTATTTGGCTCCGATTTAGAGATATTGAAAAAAAAAACGAACTTTAGTCAATATCTCAAAATCATTGCAATATAGGAAAAAACTGAGAACGTCACTAAATTCTTAAAAAAGTGCTTCCAGAAATTTTTTACGGAAATCAATTAATCAATCATAAACAAAAAAGTTATGAAGGTTTCACAGTATTGCTCAAAATCGAGAATCGCCCTCTAGGGGCTAAACGGTTGAAGATATCAAAATGCGGTTTGCACCAATCAAGATTTCATGTAATTTGAACCTCAGAGAGGGGGGTTCATTTTTTTGTATCTCGCTCAGAAATTGACGTTTCCTATTAAAAATGTCCAAATTGGCCCATCCTGTACATACAGGGTTGTTCTGTATATTTAGACATCATATAGCTCGCGTATAAAGCAAGGTAGAGAAAAAATATAAATACAAAGTAAATGGGGATTTACGAGAACCGCTAGAAAATTTAACTTTGATACCTATAGGTATACAGGGTGCACGCAAAAGATGTGGCATACACAACTTGTACTTTTTTAATGGAACGTACCCTGTATATTTTTGGCTACTATGATAGATTTTTTTCTTCTGATTTCAAATATATGTACCATATACAGGGTGTTCATTTTAAAACTTAGCTCCCCCATTATCTCGGAGTTGAATAATTTTCGAAAAAATCCCTGAAACATGTCAACTCAGTATAATTTGAAGGTCAACTAAGTATAATTTGAAGGGGGATGAGTATTCATGCATGAATTTTACATAAAAACGTATCCCCCATTAAATTATAGCTGACTTGTTTCCGGGATTTTTTCGGAAATTTTGCAACTCCAAGATAATAGGGGTGGTAAGTTTTAAAATGAACACCCTGTATAGATACCTGTATATGTTTTGAAGGGGTAATGCGGTTGCTCGAATTTTACCTGCGCTAGCTTTAAGGAAGATTCATATATATTTTTGAAAACTTAAAAATCACTTGTAGGGGCTCATGATTTTTTTTGTCCACCCTGTATCACAGCTACGATAGCTGACACAACTTGCGCTAGGTGTTACGAATGTGCGCCATAATTTTTGAGAAGATCGAATATCTGGGGGGGCTAGCGTCACCCTAGCCCCCCCCCCTCCCGAATATAAAGCCACATATCTTTTGACCTGTAGCTGCGCTAGCTTTCGAAAAAGTTGCGCTAGGTTGCGCTAGCTCTGGAGAACGAGGGCTAGCGTTTTGGATAAAAATTATCAATTGGGGGGGCCAGGTCTACTGAGCCGTGAGTTGCACCATTAAAACTTGAATTGGGAAACTGGGTCAAGTGGTACCTTGTTTGACAGGTATTTGAGTTGACTTTACAGATCTGTCATTTTTTTTTGAAATCTAACTACCAGTTTTCAAGATATTCGCCTCGAAAGTTGCCATGGAGCGAAAAGAGAACGTGTTTTTCGTACATTTTTACAAGAAAAAAATTGAAATTCCTGAAACACGTCAATTTTTTTTATTTTAAACCTTTGTTTCTTTATTAGCTTGAACCTTTTGAACAACCTTTCAAACATGACCCACTTTTCATTTTTTCACGAAAAACACGTTCTCTTTTCGCCCCATGGCAACTTCCGAGGCGAATATCTTGAAAACTGGCAGTCAGATTTCGAAAACAATAACAGATCTTTAAAGTCACCTCAAATACCTCTCAAACAAGGTACCACTCGACCCAGTTTCCCTATTCAACATTTGAGGGTGCAACTCACCCCGGTAAGGAGGTGCAATCTAGGAAAATTTTGAAATAGCCAAAAAGTGTCCCCCATGCAAACAAAATCGACGTGTTTTGGCGTTTTTTTAATTTCCTTATAATTTTCGAGAAAATCCAGGTGGATCCTTTTTAATTTTCCACCCGTATAGGGTATAAATTTGAAACAAATTATAAATAATCGACTAGTCGGCGATTGATCAATTGAACGATTATTTTGCCTACCCCTAACGATAATGATTGATATATTATGTATTATTCACCTTATATTGCCTTTCGTGCGTCGCGAATAGTAAGCAAATCCACCATGGCAAAAAACACCCCTTTTTTTTTGAAGTTCCATTTTAATTATTGTAAACAAACACTAACTGAAACCGAAAACCAAATCGCACCTACAAAAAGTACAACGAAAGGAGAATAATTCAGACGTAACGTTTATTTTTATTTGTTTAAGGCACAGAGTGACAAGAAAATCAGGATTGTCGCATAGAGCGCATGCCTAGGACAAGTTCAGAATTTTATTTCACGGCAAACAAATTTCCTCACTCACTACTCACTTCAAATTGCGTATGAAGTTCTTGTAAAAAGTCTGGAACCAGTAGAATTGGTTCCGAACCGAGCGCAAAATTTCAAATACGGAGGAGAACTCTAAATTCTTATATTATTAAAAAATTCGCCCCTAAGAATAGTTTTTTTTTTTGTTTAGATTATTATAGGTGACACAGAGGAATTATTGTGAAAAGTTCAATGCACTCCACCATCTCGTGCGACGCTTGAACTCTCGTGACGTCATAGGATGAGACGCGGTATCTTCATGGAGTCGTATCTTTGGTATATTTTGTCATAGAGGGGTGCGGTTTTCAGACTGCCTGATAACTTTATGACGTTATCCGGGGTGCCTCAACCTTATGCAAATCTCCATAAGGCACCCCAGACGCGTCATCAGGTTACCCATTTCCAGGCAACCTTAGCTTGGGTTTTCACTGTTATTCTTAGATTTTTTTTTCTTTTCGCTCGCAACAGTCGCAAGCATCGTCAGCGTAGATTGAGCGGTGTAGCCGGATGGTTTTGGACTCTTGGGAAATATATGGACAAGGACCTGGATCAAACCAAGTGAGCTGAAACAACTCGGGCAAGTGTTTGGAAGAAGTCCAAGAAGGTCAGGAGAGGGCTGGATAAGGTCTGGAACAGTCTGGACAAGTCTGGATGAAGTCTGGAAAAGTCTGGATAAAGCTGGATAATGTCTGAAAATTTCTGGAAAAGGACTGGAAATTTCTGGAAAGGGTCTGGAAAAATCTGGAAAGGGTCCCAAAAGACCTGGGGATCGTTTTCCAGAATCTGGAAAAACCTGGAAAGGTCAGGAGAGAGCTCAGAAGCACCAAAAAAACATTCTCCAGAATCTGGATATTTTTTGAAAAATCTGGAAAAGACAAGAAACGATCAGGGAAAGGTCTAGAACGGTCTGGGAAGGTCGGATATCTTCTGGAGAGCGATCTTAATACGAGTAGACCCAGTTACCAGGCAAAATGGCGCAAGCCAAGGAACTTATAGCGAGCTTGAGAAAAAACTGCGGAAGTGGAAGCTTGAGGAATGCCTAGAGGAAAGGAGCAGAGGGAAAGGAGAGAGAAGGGAAATTTCCACAATCGCTCCATGCTGAAGACATCGCCTGAGGTTCAGAAACTTGTGGAAAGGGTCGAGGCTGGAGTTTATTTTAGGGTAACCGAGGCTATGCAGGAGGTCCAAGTGTGCTAGTATGGGAAGCCCGTAAGTAGTGGGAACAAAAGAAGTGACATTAGATACAACAAGGAAAAGGCCGGAGTCCTATTATTCATGCACTCAAATAATAAGAAATTGAGAGGACGCAGAATTAAAATTGACCAGAGTGACAGCCACCTTGCAGGAGTACGTCGCAGTATCGAGCGCACAGAGTAGTTAAACCTAAAGGTAGGGTTTACGTTGTCAGTTGTGCGTCGCTTACTATCCTAACAAACCGTACCTTAAAGGTACAAACCGTACCTTTAAGGTACGGTTTGTTAGGATAGTAAGCGACGCACAACTGACAACATAAACGTCGTCATTGGTTCAAATATGACGTACATCCGTCTTCTGACGTGAGATAACGGGTGTACGTCATACCTATGGTCATACCTGAACCAATGACGACGTTTACGTTGTCAGTTGTGCGACGCGTACTCTCCTAACAAACCGTACCTTTAAGTAAGTACACCCGTCTTCTGACGTGAGAAAACGGGTGTACGTCATACCTATGGTCATACCTGAACCAATGATGACGTTTACGTTGTCAGTTGTGCGACGCGTACTCTCCTAACAAACCGTACCTTAAAGGTACGGTTCGCGACGTACAACTGACGACGTAAACGTCGTCATTGGTTCAGGTATGACGTACACCGGTCTTCTGACGTGAGAAAACCGGTGTACGTCATACCTATGGTCATACCTGAACCAATGACGACGTTTACGTTGTCAGTTGTGCGACGCGTACTCTCCTAACAAAACGTACCTTTAAGGTACGGTTTGTTAGGATAGTACGCGACGCACAACTGGCAACGTAAGTGTCGGTCATTGGTTCGGGTATGACGTACACCAAGCGAACACCCGTTTTCTGACGTCAGAAAACAGGTGTATGTCACAGGTACAATTTGTTAGAAGAGTACGCGTCGCACAACTGACAACGTAAACGTCGTCATTGGTTCAGGTATGACCAGGTATGACGTACACCCCGTTTTCTCACGTCAGAAGACGGATGTACGTCATACATGAACCAATGACGACGTTCACGTTGTCAGTTGTTGGTTTGTTAGGATAGTACGCGACGCACAACTGACAACGTAAACGTCGTCATTGGTTCAAGTAT